ACCAAGATGCATTATATAAAGGTACAATTCCCAATGAGAAATGTAATTGTGTTATATACCTACAATGTACCAATAAAAGAATTTAAGAAAAAAAGTGTATGAATTCATTGAAAAGTTATGATCTCAAAAGATGAATGTACAAGGACAGTTCACAAGACAATTACTTTTTCATGATATTAGTTGTGGAAAGTATTTGGAAAACTATTCATACTTATGAGTAAAAGAACAAATAAATGAGATACCATTTTGCCTTTGCAGTTCGGAAATATTTTAGAAAATAAAAACGATAGCCAGGGTGGAGGTATAGCTCAGTGACACAGTGTGTGCTCAGCATGTTCAAAGACATCTGTTCATCAAAAAAGTAAGTACAGTGGACCCTTGACTTACGAACTCAATTCATTCCTGAGGGCTGATTGTAACTTACGTTGGTCAACTGAAGGCTCAGGCTCCTCTACACAGTCTTCAAAGTCTCTCCTGTACACAGGCAGATCTCAGTGCCTTAGAGAGACACTAGCCCAGGATTTCTCAGCCCCACACAGGAAAGGATGCTGTAATGTTCCTTCCAGAACTCTTTAAGGGTAAAACCTGTATCTGAGACCATCTGGAAGCACAAGTGGCTGGGATTCGGGTTATAACTCTAGACTTTGTTCATAAATGAAAACTAAAATTCTAATCGTGACCCAAGTTGTTCATATGTCAGGCTGGTCGTAACTCGAGGGTTACTATAAAATAATAAAATAAAATGACACCCAAAGCTGGCCAAGGGCACAGTTATGTGATACTCTGATACACTGCTGGTTGGGATGTAAACCAGTTCCACCCTTCTGGAAAGCAAATTTGGCAACATTGACTAGGACCCTTAAAAAGACTCCTATTCCTTAACCCAGTAATCATCTTTTGCAACCTTGAAGGAAAATCCCAAATATAGGGAAAAATTATGTCTCTATGAAGTTTCCACTGCAACATTTCTTATATTAGCAAAAAGATTTTTTTCAAAAGGCTTAATGATTAGGAGAATAGTTGAATCAACTGGAATAAGTACATTGTATAGAGTATAAAACAACCTTTAAAGTATCTATAGAGAAGATATGAGAATTTGAGAAAAGACTATATAGGATTCTGAAGATAAATAGAATTTTTATCTTATGTAAAATATGATGTGCACTATTTTTATGTAAAATCTAAAAAGAAATAATAGCAGTAGTAGTAGTAAATACAATGATAGTCATAGTAGCTATAATGAATTGAATGCTTACTGTATGCTCTTTCTATGCAAATATATAATAACCTCACATACATCTTATATGGGAAATATTGTCATTATATCCCTTTTGCAGGTGAACAAACTGTGGCTCACAGCGAGTTTCTCATCCAAGGTCACACTGTTGTTAAGTTGGTGAACTGGGATTTGAGCCTTAGTCTATGTGGCAGCCAACTGATTGAGACTTGATGGCATCCAACTACAAGGAACATGATGGACTGGATATATCAGGTGCCTTCTAAACTCTATTACCACATTGCATGAGGATACATTTCCCACTGACATGTGCCATCCAGCAACAAAGTCTATACTTCAATGGTTTTTATTCTATTCACATATATGTACAGTGATCATCACAGTCAATTTTAGAACATTTTCATTACCTCAAAAAGAAGCCCTTTAGCTATCACTGCCCACATTACCCTTTTCCCCCAGCTCTAAGCAACCAAGAATCTACTTTCTATAATCTATTTTCTTGTTTGTGTATTTCATATAAATGGGATCACATAATATAGGGTCTCTTGTGACCGGCATCTTTAATTTAGCATAATGTTTTCAAGGCCCATGAATTTAGCGCATGTTAATACTTCCATTTTGGGGCTAGAAAATGTTTATGGATATACAGCATCATATTCTGTTTATCTAGCGATTAGTTGCTTTGGGTTGTTTCCCATTTCATTTGGGTGTTTCCATCTTCTGTCTATTATAATGATGCTGAAACTTTTATGTGCAAGTTTTTTATGGATATATGCTTTCATCTCTCCTGGAGATATAGATAGATAGACACATATACAGATACAGATACAGACACAGACATAGACACAGACACAGATACAGAGACACAGACATAGACACAGACACAGATACAGACACAGACACAGACACAGATACAGATATAGATATAGATATATAGATATATATTTTCCCCTAAGAGTGGGATTATTGGGTCAATGGTGACTTTATATTCACTTTCTGAAGAATTGCCAAGCAATTTTTCAAAGTTACTGCAACACTGCATGTTCTGACTTGTCTATATCCTTGTCAGCACTTGCTATTATCTGACTTTTTGATCACATTCATCCTGGTAGGTATTAAGTGGTATCTCATTGTGGTTTTGATCTACATTTCATTGATAAATGATGATGTCAAGTATCTTTTATGTATTTATTGACCATTTTTATATCTTCTTTGGAGAAATGTGTATATAATGTTTTGTTTTTGTTTTTGTTACCGGGGCTCAAACTCGGGTCCTTGTGCTTGTGAGGCAGGCAACAGTACCACTGAGCTAAATCCCTGGCCCTATAATATTTTGTCTACTTTTAAAATTGTGCTATTTCCTGTTTATAGTTGAGTTGTAAGAGCTTTTCATATATTCTGAACACTAGTGCTTCTAGATACAAGGGTTACAAATATTTTCACCTCATTCTGGAGGTTGCCTTTTCATTTTCCTCATTGCGTCCCTTGAAGCACAAGTGATTTTAATTTTGGTGAAATCCAATTTATCTAGTTTTTCCTTTTTGTCCTTATACTTCTGGTGCCATATTTAAGAATTTATTGTTAAATGTGTGGTTAAAAAAATCTTGCATTCCTAGATAAGTCCACCTGGTCATGATGTTAACATTTTTAGAATAGGTTTTTTTCCCCCTGTGATTCTTCTCTGGTGTTGGTATTGGGGTAACATGGCTCATAGAATGAGTTGGGAAATGTTTTTCCTCTTCCATTTCTTGGAAGAGTTTGTAAAGACTGGCATGAATTTTTCTTTAAATATTTGGTAGAATTTACTATTGAAGCTATACAGTCCTGGGCTTTTCTCTGTGGGTAGTTTTTTCTATCCTTTCTATCTATTTGTGTCTCCTGCATACAGCATAAAGTTGGCTATCTCAGTTATTTTTTTATGTATTCATTATGTCAAGCTTTTTAAGACTTTCCAAGTCTTTGCATTATTTTCTATGCAACAAAATTACATTTCCTATGAAATAATATACCAAAACCCCAAAGTTTTTAGAATTAATTTATTTCTCAATCCTCAGTTTTTTAGTAGGATAGTAAACTGAAGGTTAGAATCTTGCCATCTAAAGTCTGCTGAGAATTAAAGATGTAACAGTGGAGGAAGACAATTTACCATAGAGAAGTATT